TGTATAGAGAGAAGTATTATCAGAAATAATATATAATTGCTTTTAATATACTAGAATTCTTCTAGTTAATAATAAAGAACTTGTTACTGATGATAATGAAGAACTTGTTACTAATAATAATAAAAAACTTGTTACTAATGATAATAAAGATGAGTTGATAGAAGAATTGCAAACAGATATTGATATACTTAACCTTAAAATGTAATGAATCTCAATAATTATATCAACTATTCAGATAAAAATAACATAAACAAATATTGAATAATCAAGAAATTGTAGATCTAGTCATTAATATGAAATCTGAGATAAATAAAAATAATAAAGATGATAATAATAATATTGAAATATGTTAAATTACTCATAATGAAGCACTAAATACAATAGGATTGCTTAAACAATATCTTTTTCAGCAGAATTTTAGTGACACAACCCAAACAGAATATGATAAGACTTTATCAAAGCTACAAAAAACAGTAAAAAAATTCTAAAATTTGTCCTTTAATCAATTAGAACTTGAGACTTTTTTTAGATTTGCTAATTCTTAACCTTTATTTAAAAAAAAAAGATAAAAAAAAAGAAAAAAAAAACTTATTTCACTCCTTTTAACAACTTAACTAATACAATCTTATACTAAAAAAAAAGCATAGAAGGTTTTAATTTGGCTAATTGTCAATCTTGAACTAGTAAGCTAGCAAAGAAATATATAATAAATCAAATAATCAATAGTCTGATCACAAGTATTTGTATATATATTATAAATTAGTTTTAAAATATTAAATAAATAAACAATTAAAAGTTTTTCAATATTTTTTTGATTATCTTTGTGATTCTTTAATAAATACTTTCAAACCAATTAGTACAATAATAAGTAGTAAAGTGATATAATAAATAGCTTTAGCTAAGAATCTCAGATACATACATATATACATATATACAGTCAACTCCCTCTAAATGCATATCCTCTAAATGCATGTTCTCTCTAAATGCAAGTTTAAATTCTGGGCTCACATATATATTTGATCTCTATAAATACATTTTTCTTAATTGTTCTCTTAATGCAGGTTGCTAAAAGTCTGGTCCTAACGAGATGCATTTAGAGGAAGTTGACTGTATATACATATATATTACAAATTATAGTACTATTGTAAATCATATATTGTTGATTTATTAGCTAATCTATAATTATATGATACTTGTTTTTACTATAATATTATTAGCTATTCTCTAATTACAACCATTTCTAAATGCATACTTTAGTATCAGTTCTGATCATATGCATTTAGAAGGATCTGACTAGATTATGAAAAAATTAAATATGGCTGCCAAAATTAGATACTAAAAAATAAAGAAAAACAAGCTGCTAAAATAAAGTTAAAATTAGATTTAGGTTGAAGCAAGAGCTCTAAGAACAAAAAACAAATTGACAAAAATAATACAATAAAATAGCCTTGAAGACTATAGTATAACAATTCAAAAAATCTATCAAAGCTGCAGCAGTAAACTAGTATGAAATAAGAAGAAAGTCAAAAAAGAAAAAAAGAAAGATACAAACTTAACAAAAAAAAACAAGTTGCTAAAATAAAGTCAAAGCTAGAATTAAACTGGAGCAAAAAACTTCAAAAGCAAAAAAAAATTTGACAAAAACAGCACAACAAAACAATGTTAAAGGCACTAGTACAACAGTTTAAAGAATTTATCAAAACTGCTATAACAAACTAGTATAGAAGAGAAAGAAAAAAGATTTATTTATAAAATAGA